TAGATTAAAAAAATAATTTCCGACGCAGAAATGGGGAAACCAATTCATTTCCACATTTCCAGCGATGCTTGTTGTATTTTTACGACGAATAAATTGTGCTTTAAATTAAAAAGGAAAATAATTTGCGACGCGGAAATGAATAATATAATGTGCCTTTCTGAACGACATAAAATAATCAAATTATCACATGATGATGTAACACGAACACTTTACTTGTTGTACGCACGCACGCACGCACGCACGCACACAATGTATTCTTATGATATTATGCATTCTAAAGTCAGCGACCTAAAAATTAAGGAAATGAGGTAGCTCCATCGGAGGCTATGAAAACAATAAAATTACATGAAGCTTGTAGACTCGGTTTGATTTTGTCTGTTCATGAGAAATATTTGAAAGGCGCAACATCCTTCACCCCCCCCCCCCAGCCCCGGCTTTAGCGGTAATCAATCTTCATCATTTAATGTGCTTTAATAAATGATTCTCAAGCACCTGACAAGTATAACAAAAATTTTCTGTATTCTCATATTTTTAAAACCTCCCTCCCTCTAAAGGATTCTTCTGAGTCTAAGAAAGCCCTACAAGCATAAAAATTAAAAATCTATAAAGGTCAACTGGGGCACCTAAAACGGACAAATATGAAATATATTATCTAAATATACCCGAATTAAATTAAAAATCGATACTTAGTGCTTTTCCAATCCCGAGTTTTGTTAAAATCGTTTAATCGATTTTCATTTTTTTAAGTATTATATGCAAATGAAAATGGCTATTCTTGGCATAAGGAGCGAAAGAATGATCCAAAATTTTACACATATGTTATTAGTATAGAGCTACATCAAATGTTATATAAATTCAAAAAAAATCAATATCATTAAACGGTAATGCAGTGATTTATTTCTTAATTATGTGTCACTCGTGTAAATTTGAAAGAAAATCCATGTCCATTTTCACAAAACAATTTAGTATGCTATTTAGTTTTTCACCAAAAATGTACAAAATATCACTTACCTCAGCCCTCTACTTCCCAAAGTATATAAATGATGAACATTTTAAAACGCAACAAAGTAAACATACTCAAGCCGGTCATAAGATCTTGTTCAAATTTAAAATTCAATATACAATGTATTTCCTTTAAAGGAACATAGCCTTTTGCATGTTTTGTTTATCAGTTATCTAATTTCCACTTATTTAAATACATTTATCCAATTTGATTACAAGCCGATTAAAAATCCAACAAGCCAAATACCTCCAAAAAATAAATTATAATAGTAATAACAACAACAACAAAAACCCTATGCTGTCGTAATTTAAATATTGGTCAAATTTGAATTTAGCTAAGTAGCATTTACGCTATAGAAGGTTGGTGAATAGATTTATAAAAATAACAATTTTCGTGTCATATTTCTTAACAAATGTGTTACCGGTCCGTGAATAATATTTTAATTGATGAACGTTATTTAAACTACACGAGGACGAAAAATTAAGTAGCAGACGCCAATTAACTGAGAACAATTATCTTATTGCATTACATGGCATTACCCGTATAATTAATTCGTGAAGTAGTCGCGAAGTTGAATTCGTGAAGTTGAAATCGTAAATTCGTGAAGTTGAAATAGTGAATTCGTGAAGTTGAAATCGTGAATTCGTGAAGTTGAAATCGTGATTTCGCAAAGTTGAAATCGAGCATTAATGAAGTTGAAACCGTGAATTTACAAGGATGAAATAGTGAATTCACAAAGATGAAATCGGAAATTCATAATGTTGAGATGCCCCCCGCCGGTCTTTTTAATGACAAGCAAGTGTACTAATCATGCGCGTTCTTACTTGCATTTTCGTTTGTAAATGTTCGGTATGTAAGTGGTGATACAAGATCTTTATTGCCATGGTGGCGCACTAAACATTCAGTATTGCAGTATAACAATTTCGGTTACATGAATATCTATCTACTAAACAGAATTAAATGCATTAGTGCTTGGTATCTTAATTGAAAATGGCTGATTTTTATCAATATTATTATATGCAGATGATATAGTTATTCTTGCAAAGAATGAACATAATTTACAATTGATGTTAGATTGCCTATGTGAATGGTGTCAAAATAATCACATGTTGATCAATATGATTAAAAGTAATGTTGCACACTTTAGGACAATATCTATGCAGAAATCTAAGTTTGTATTCAAATGCAATGATGAGGTACTTCAGTACACTCAAAAGTATACTATCTTGGTATGACGCTAAATGAATTTTTAGATTATAAAGTGACTGCTATGGTTGTGTCACAAGCAGCAGGAAGGGCCTTTGGATTACTTATTGCAAAAATTCAAGGCAAAAGGTGGTATGCCATTTTATGTTTACATAAAATTATTTGACAGCCGTGTTTGGCCAGTCATTGCATATGGTGCAGGCTTCTGTGGCACTAGACAATTCAGTTTTATAGAAGCAATGCAAAACAGGGCCATGCGTTTTTTCATGGGAACTGGTAAATATATACCTAACCTTGCTGTTACAGGTGACATGGTTTTGGAGCAGACAAATAAAATGTGTAGTAAACTTGTGTTGTAGATTTTCAAAAATGTCAGACGGAAGAATTAATAAAATGGTATACAATCAATGTTAACATTTATCTGGCATTCATTGTAAAAACTGACACTGTACAGTAAATGAGTTGTACAAAAATTTATTGTAGTGAATATATTGATTTAGAAAATGTACATTTATATAAGCAGACACTATAAGAGAAATTGCAAGTAAACTATTTTAAACAGTATCTAGATAATTGGATTTAATTGGATCTTTACATGGGTTATACAGTTCTCATGGGTCTGGACGTAATAAATTGAGAACATACAGGAATTTCAAATTTGATTTTGAAACTGAGAACTATATCAAAGTACTGCCTCCCTATAAGCATAGATCGGCGCTTGCAAAATTTCGGCGTGGAGTCGCTCCAATTAGGCTAGAAATTGGTCGCTATGAAAGACTAGCAGTCAATGACAGAATATGTCAATTGTGTAATACAGACTGAAGAAGAAAATGAAATTCATGTTCTTTTGAAATGTCCACAATATGTAGATATGAGACAAAGTTTGTTCGACAAAACAATGTATATTAATAGTGGGTTTCTTATGTTAGCAAGCTAAATCTTTTACTTTCCAATAGTAGTATTGTTAGAGAAGTCCTGAAACCTTATTTTAGAAAAAAACGTGCAAAATGCTTGTATCATAATTAGGTCTTTTTATGTATATAGTTTTATATGGTTTGAACACTTTTTTATTAATGAAAATTGTTGTTTTTTAAGGCCTTTTAATGATGTCACTTTTTAAAGAATTTAAGATCTTAGCTGGTTTTTTTAAAGAAATATCAAAGTGTGAAGAATGAAAGATCTTAGCTGTTTTACATTATTGTAACAAATTAAAGTTCTAATCTAATAGTTAAGTAATATTATCTATCAACAACTAATCAGATGTGTATTTTAGACTGCTTATCTTTGATCTGATCAAAGCTGATATATGACTATGTAAAATACCTTTTATAATTAATGTCTGAAATGTGGAGATTTTTTAAAATTCTGATATAACCTTTTAAATGTTGATTGTATATTAAAATACTTGTAACATGTTTGTAACAACAAACATTAGTTTCCTATAATTCTTTATAAGAATGACCATTTACATGTATTTTAAGTTTTAATGAATGTATATTTGTATTATATGTACATGTAATGGATGAGACTTAAATAAACTATAAGCATGCAAATCAATGTTACAAAACTATCTTTGTAAGTTCATGAAACGCTTTGTAAGAAACTTTTTGTTTTTTCATAAATCAAACTTCCTTTATGTTATTTTAATCAAGACAGAAAATCAATGAAGCTGATAAAATTATCAGCTTGTGAATTTTAAATGTCACAATAAAAGAAAACTAAACACACAAGAATGATAACAGTATTTGATCTGCATGGATGTTTTTTTATTGCTCACCATTGTGGTATTTACCCAGTTTTCTTTTATTCACAAAATATTAAGTTTTTGCAACTCTAGATATCAGCTTAACTAAATTATCTTCAAAAACAATGCAAAGAATGTGGTCCTAACAGCGATCGTGGTCCCATATACAAAAATTAAACAATAAAGCGTATACTTTTGTATTGGTATAAGGAAGTTTTATATGTACGGAAGACCGTTGGAGACATTTCAACTTAATAAATTCCCGATTTCATCTTTGTGATTTTACAATTTTAACATCATGAGCTCACGTTTTCAACAAACGAAGTTCTCGAATTCACGATTTCAATTCATGAGTTTACGATTTAAACTTCACGAATTCAGTTTCGCGAATTCACGATTTGAACTTCACGATTTCATCTGCATGAATTCACGATTTCAACTTCATAAATCCAAGATTTCAAATTCATGAATTCCTGATTTTAACTGCACGATTTTAACTAAATGAAGTTGAAGTCGTAAAGATCAAAACGTGAATTCATGAAGTTGAATTCGTGACGTTTAAAACGTGAATTCGTGACGTTGATATCGTGAATTCATAAAGTCGAAATTGTGAATTCCTGGAGATAAACCCGATAATTCAAAAAGTTGAAATGTAACCACCGGTCTTTTGGTCATATCCCCTATGTTGATTAGTACATTATGTAATCTTATAAATGTAACAATCCAAAGTTATACAATTTTTTTAACTACTTCATTTTCGTTAGCTCGGTGTCAAATGTTTTATTATGATTATTATTATTATTGTTATTATGACTTTTTATTTCACGCGTTTCGTAATATAGCGTAAAATATTTGTCTGAACGCGTAACGTATTACAAAGGGTGATAAATTTGATATTGGTCAGTGTGTATTTTGCACGGGTTTTTCATTGAAGCATACATGTATTTGTGTGTATATATAATAGTTGTGTAATTAGATGCTGGTCATTCTACCAGACAACTCCGAATAAGTCTAATCTTAACTTCACACGTGGCAGTCGAAAAAAAAATGGAGGAAGAAAAAGAAATGCTTTCTAGAATAGAAGCGTTAATAAATAGCAAGTTTGAGACTTTTGAGCAGCGTATGAGTGACACACAGAAGGAATTATCTCAGTCGCAGTTATCAGTTATTCATATACTATATTATATTATATTATATATACAGAAAAAAGGACATGAACAACAGTACAGAGTTAACAGTCAAGTTATTGACAAGCTGCGTCATGCCGAGGCTTATGTAGAAGTACACACTGCGAGGCTGCAGATAACGCCATAAGCAAGATTTCCGAAGGTATTAATATTCTTCAGCATCGTCAAAAATGTATAAAGCTGACAGACTCGTCTGAACACGGTTGGAATGTTGTTAATGAGTATGAAGCTCATCCGCTCGCAGACAATTCTGACGATGAGAAAAAGATTTATAAAGCCCAGATGCAAGCAGAACGTAAAGTTCAACGGGAGCGACGCACGAGAAGCAGACGGTATGCTCCGTATTCGTTATCCGGTAACCCCTCCAGCGGTACTACACCACCAACAGGGACGAGATCACAGGCACAGATGGTCAACAGGAAACCTGGCTGTTTGCGTGTCGATTGTCGTGTGGCACAGACTGAGTCTCAAGTGGACAAAAATATACAGATAAGTCATTTTGATAGTGTATTTTCTTGTAGTAAATTGAACTCCGGGGTGAGTGAAAATGAAATTTTGTTAGACACAAAATTGTCAAACAAAACTGAAATGTTGAGTAAATCAGTACCGATAACGAGCGATAATGGAGATGTATTAGTATCTCCGGTAGGTAGACTGAGGTCGTCTTATAAGCATTGGCAAGCAGCAGGCGCTGGTGAATATATATTAGATATAGTTCGTAATGGTTATAAATTACCTTTTAAAAAGATTCCTACTTCTGTAGAATTAAACAATAATAAATCTGCTCGAGATAATACAGCGTTTGTTTCAAAGGAAATTCAAAATTTATTGCTAAAAGGTTGTATCAGAGAGGTACGTGTGCCTCCGATAGTAGTAAATCCTCTTACTGTAGCTTGCAATCGTCAGGGCAAGAAAAGACTTGTTTTGGACTGCAGACATTTAAATTTAGATCTGTTTAAGTATAAATTCTGTTATGAAAATTGAAAAATTTGTATTACAAGTTATAATTTTATGAATAAATACTTACCTGACATTACATTTAGGATTTCATTTCGTCCTACCTAAGTGTGCATTTGTTTACATCCATAATGCATTGAAACAAATAACTTCCTGAAGTTTTAACCAACCAGAACACACTTCCGGTATTCCCACGTGAAATCAGTTTTCTATTTTTGCGCCTAACGGCCCTATGGAAACTTGAAATCTGTGGGGTGGATGGGAGGGATCATGTAATGTCAGGTAAGTATTTATTCATAAAATTATAACTTGAAATACAAATTTTTCAATTTTATTTCATGAAATACTTACCTGACATTACATTTAGGATTAATATCTGATTATAAAGCAGTTAAATAATTACTGGTGGAGGGAGATTCAAGTTGAAATCCACCCATAACATTTTAAACATCAAATAACAATAAAGAAATTTTAAAAGAACTTACCTCTGAAGAATCCAAACTTGGAACAATTCATTAGGTATGTCAAAACTACGTGAATAAGTTTCAATCCAATATGAACATAACCACTGTATTAACAAATCTCACTGTATTTACACTGTTTACTGTACAAATACTAACAGTTCCTTATCTGTAGGTATGTGTATAATACCAAAATATAATATACCCTCCAAATCCGATCAAAAATATACTTAAATAACCTTGCAAACTCGCAAAAAACGAAAATATATATATGTATATATATTATACAAGACAATTCTAATTGTCTTAAACATCAATGAAATTAATATTCAAATCCGCCAAGTAATGTTTGGTAAATGTAGTTTCCCTAGACCAGTCAGCAGATTCCATAATCTCCGTCATAGATACCCCTTTGAAAAGAGCCCATGAAGGACCAAACTTCTGGTAGAGTGACCTTTAATAGATTTAACACTTTTCTCACTACTCAAATATGCATGTTTTATCGTTTTTACAATCCATGTAGATATTGTCTGAGATGAAACTGGTTGATGTGGCTTTTTAGAGGATAAAAATAACTGAGTAATATCCTGTCCAGACTTATTTCTAAACTTTTCTGTTCTTTTTAAATAAAAAGCTAAACATCTTTTGGGATCTAGTTTCTTGTTGTCCGGAAAACTTGGTATGAAAATAGGAGTAGGCTTGTGATTTGGCCGATCTTGCTTTGACAAACCTGGCCTGATAAAAGTTATACCTTTTTTCTGCACATTAACAAAACTTTCCCCCAACCTAAGAGCTTAAAGATCACTACAACGTCTAAATGATGTAACTGCTATCAGGAAACACGTTTTCCATGTTTAAAAAACTTCAAAAGACGCTTTACAAAGGGGTTCATATGGTGCCTTCTTCAGCGAACCTAAAACAAAAAGAAGATCCCATTCAGGTACAAGTTTTTTAACTGGTGGCCTTTCATTAAATACACCTCTAAGTAAACGAATAACATGAGGATGTTGCCCAATTGGAACTTTGTCTACATAAGGAAGGACAGCCGAAAACATTGATCTATACCCTGAAATAGTTCTATATGCAGTACCTTGATGAAACTTGTATGCAAGAAAATTTACACAGTCCTTTAAAAGATGCTGCATATGGATTAATTTGTTGTTCACGGCACCAATTACAGAACAATTTTGAATTTACACCTATAGTCTTTTTGTGTTCCCCTTCTCCAGGAAGATGCAAGCAATTTCCTAGACTTTTCTGAAAATCCCTCTGTTTTCGAAATATCGGTCGTATGAAGCCATGCAGTCAGATTTAGTGTTCGAAGATCTGGATGAAGAATTTTGCCCTTCCCTTGGGACACTAAATCCGGCTGCAGTGGTAGACAAAGAGGGTTTGCTACTAGTAAATGTAATAGTACTGGATACCAAGGTTGTCTCGGCCAATTTTGATGCTATTAGAATCAGAGTGCAATTGAATTGTTGTAAGTGTGACAGAACACGATGCAAAATCTGCACAGGCGGGAACGCATAAGCAAACATGTTTCTGCCATGCAATTGACAGGGCATCCAAGGCATAAGCTTGAGGGTGATGAATCCATGAGCAAAACAGTTGTGTCTTTATGTTTTGTAATTGTTGCGAACAAATCCATCAGGGGATGTCCCCAAAGATTGAATATTGACATCACAACTGATTTGTTCCAGAGACCACTCTGTATCCCTCACTGATTCCCTGCTCAAAAGATCTGCTAAAATGTTTGATTTTCCTGAAATGTGGGCTGCCCTCAGTAATATTTTGTTGCTCAAAGCTAACATCCCCCCACAACTTCCAAGTCATTTGACAAAGTGTTATTGATTTTGTCCCCCCTTGGCGATTGATATATTGAACACATGTGCTCGAATCTGGTTCGAATCAGAACTGACTTGTTCTTTAGAAGAGGCAGAAAATGACTGACTGGACGAATTATTACCTCCATCTCCAGGCAATTGATGTGTTGTAGACGTTCTATCTGAGACCAACGGCCTTGCACAGTACGGTTGTTCATGTGACACCCCAGCCCCATGAACTGCTTGCATCTGTGGTCAGTATAACATTTGAATGGCTGTATTGAAAACAACAACCCTTCAGAATGTTCACTTCCTGTAACCACCAATGCATATGAGGAGTCAAAGAAGGTGTACATTGGATCTTGCATGAAAGGGTCATTCTCGAGGGACTCCAGTTTTGTAACAGATTGAAGCTGGATAGGCCTCATGAACAACCGTGGCATTGGGAATCAGATCTATGCAAGATGCTATCATGCCTAACAAAACAAGATAATGTCTGGCTGTGCAATGACCCTGTAAAATTTGTCTTACTGCCTTCTGTAAATTGACTATCCTTTCTTTTGTTGGATAAAGTATCCCTTTCTTCAACATGAAAAGACCCCCTATGAACGTTACTGTTTGAAGAGGTAACAAATACGATTTTTTTCTTGTTCACCATTGAAACCTAGTTCGAAAAGGAGATTTAAGAGGACTGTTCGATTTTTTAAAAGTTGTGTTCTTAGACTGTTTAGAACAAGCCAATCGTCTAAGTAAGTTGCAAGACGAATACTTTGTTTGCGTAGATGAGATGCTACTACAGCAATTACTTTGCAAAAAAACTCGAGGAGCCACAGTCGGACCGAAACACAGTGCTCTGAATTGATACACAACTGACTGGAAACAAAAACGAAGAAACTGACGGTGGCCCCTTGAAAATCTCTATGTGAAAATATGCATCTTTTAGATCGAGATTTATGCACCAATCTCCTTTTCGAACTAAATTTAACACTTTCCTCATGTTGTCCATTTTGAAATGTTTTTTCTGCAGATACCTGTTCAGGGGTTTTAAGTTTATGACAGGACGTAACTCTCCGTTCTTTTTTCGGGACGAGGAATAACGTACTGTAAAAACCGTGATGTGTTTTGAGTTTTTTTGGAACTATTTCGATGACATTTTTGTCTAAAAGATTTTGAATTTCTGTATGAATTAAAGAATGTTCTTTTTGATTGACCTTGGTTTCTAATATACCTGAATAAAGGTGGTTTTTGAATAAACTCTAGCTTGTAACCGTTTCTTATTAAATCTAAAACCCACTGATCTCGAGTTATATTTTCCCAAGCAGGCAGGAAGTGTTTTAGTCTGCCCCAACAGGTATCTGCGGCCACTTTGCTATAATGTTTACCTTGTCATTTGCGATCTGTTTTACCACGTCCTCGGCCAAAGTTCCTTGGTGGAAAGGACTCAGTTGCACTAGGTCTACTGAAGTTGCCTTTCTGTCACTTCCCTGCTTATTGTAACCTGAGGTTGAAGCTCTTGGAACCTTGGGGATCCGAAAATTATCAGAGGAAACAGATCTATTTTTGCGAAAAAACAAGGCCGTTTTGATGCGTCTTGAACAGTCGTAGAAGAAACAGGCTTCCTCTTAAGAAACTCCCTCTTCTTAAACATCATGTACCAAATCATCCACCTGTTTTTTCTGTTCTTTCCTCGATTTTAATAAATTTTCAAAGTTCTGTACCAAACAAACCGTCATTTGTCAAAGGTAAACTGAGGAATTTTTGTGAATCTGGTAATTCATACAAAGCTGTATCAGACATAGCAACATGACGTCTTATAATATGATGAAAAGCACCTGCTCTTCCTAGCTGATCTAAAACCCTTAGTGGCCATAGAAAAACACATCCTTAATTTGCTTTTCTGCAGTATCCTTATCAAAACTGTCAGACTGAACAAAACTAAGTAAATCACCAAGGCTTTGTTGTAAATACAGCTGAATAACAATACCTAATCTAGCGGCATGAGAACCTTTATATGCAAGTCTTTCAATAGTCTTATAAGGTTGCGAGTATAAACATTTACCTCTTATCTTAGAGCTAGGAAAATGCTGCTTTGGGACCATGTCGTTTAATCAAACAACTTTCTATCAAAGGATCCACTGGCGGCACTTGTAAAAATTGTTCAGTGTCACTTTTAACAGGAAAACATATCAAGAACATTTTCATTGTATGAAGTCAAAAATAAAGGAGTACTACACCTGTAACTGTTATACAAGACATCTTTTTGAGACTGGTCTAAGGTAATACCAACATCTTCCTTCTCTGATAAAACTTTGGCATCCTCACCAAAAATTTCATACAGTCCCAATTTAGTATGCTCACTGAGATTTTCTGAATCCGAAACTTTTCTAACAGAAATTCTGAACACGTGTTCTGTGAAAATCTCTGTCACTATCCGAATCTGTGTCGGAACCTAAAGTACTATCCCCGCATAAAGATAAAACATCTGCTGAGAATTTACGTTACGAGGGTCTCATCTTCTTGCACATCGGTACATGGCGAAGTATCCCGAATATTCGAAGATTGAAACAGACTGAATAATTTATCAAACTTGTCATCAATAGATTCCAATTTC